CAATGAGCCCCACGTCTGACTTTCAGTAAAGTACTCAATAAGTAGTCATTATTAGTATAATATTAAAACAAACCTAACTGGAGCCAAGTTCTATAGATTGTCATCAGAATTTCAATATAAGGTAAGCTGAAAGACAAATTCTGTTCAGAAATTCTCTTAAAACACCATGAGGCATTCACTTTCTGGCTACTAGCCAGACACATGACAGAAAGCACATCCCGACCACCCAGAATTTTCACATTTAACATTATGTGTGTCTCTTGCATTTCAGCTACATCTTGTTTCCTGTTTTAAAATAATCTGAACATAACTCTGAGTAAAGCCATCTACCAACAAAGCGCAAAATTATTTTTTTCTACTAAGATGGTTTTATTACAGAAATGATTTAATTTTTTTCTGAAAGGTTAAGTTTTACTTTGCTCTGTGATTTGCACTAAACAAAAAATAAGTTGTATCTTTCCTCATTCTTCCCCCGTCTGCTGCATCTACTGAAACCTTCCCCTTATCTCATTTCTTCTCCAAATCAACAGATGTCAACTTTTGCAGGACCCTCCCAGGCTCTCCCTGGACTCCCCCGGCCCCCCTCACCATCTTGGGGTCCCCTGTCCTTTCAGGAAGCTGCTGGGGAAATTCATGTACTCCATAGCAACTGTAGTCCTTCAGAACCAAAGCAGCTCTGGTTGACTGCCAAGGGAAGACCAAGAATATTGGATATTCGAGGCTTTCTGGATGCCTACTGGAGAATCACCCTGTACTCCATCTATTTTTCACACGCAGACTTTATTAAACATTACCTGTCAGAGGAGGCAATCTGGTCATCCCATCTAAAGCCCCTATTCTTTTTTTTTTCAATCTCAGCATACTGTCTCCTTTATAGCACTGGCTATGGTGTAAATATGATCTGGTCCTTGACCTCATGCAAGATTGTAAACCCCAGAGTCGTAAGTTAACTGCACTAAGAGGGCATAAATGTAATCCAAGTATGGTGTTGAGAGATGAGGTCTTTGGGAAGTGATGAGATTAAGTCATTAAAATGGAACCCCCACGACTGCATGCTGGTGGTTTTAGGATACAGATATACACGAATGCTCCCAGTCTCTCCCCATGTAATGCTCTGGACCACCTCAGGACCGTGCCAGCAAGAAGGTCAACACCGTAAGAAGGCCATGGACCTTGCACCTCTAGCACTGTAAGCCAAAGTAAACCTCCTGCCTTCATAAACCTATCCTGCCTCAGATATTGCATTACAGTAACAAAAAACAAACACAGCAACTATCTCACCATGTATTCATTTAATGTCTGCTCCCCTCTCTGGTCTGTAAGACCCCTGAAGGCAAGGATTTTATTGGTTCACTCAACAGTGGATGCTAACTGTCTAGTACAGTGTCTCTTAAAACACAAAGTATTGTGTGTGTGTGTGTGTGTGTGTGTTGAATACATTACTGACCACTGGATGCTTATGCAGTTCAGCACTGTACCAGACTCTACATCAGGGCTGAAAACTTTTTTCTATCCAGGGTCATTTGTATACTTAACATTTGTGGGCCACACAAGATTGCAAACTTGAAAAGTAGCCTGCTGTAGATTTACTGAGTTTTGAGTGCCACCTGTGGTTGCCTTGGCAGGGCTTTCTATGGCCTGGGCATCCCTACTCCTGCTCTATGGGGAAGTCGTAGATACTGTCCTCCCTTATACAAACTGTAACTTAATGGGGAAACAAGACACACTAACAAGAGAAGGGGCACAAGTGTCTAAAGCTACAATACAGATTACAAGCACCCAGGAAGAAAGCAGTCAGTGAATAACCACAGCCTTCCAAGAGGGCTACATGGAGAGCAGGACTTACAGGGGTCCTTGGTGTGTGAATTAAATTAGGGCTGAAAAAGAATCCAGATGGCCTTGCACAATGAGAGAGGGCTGGCAGGGCATATGCCAAGGAAGGAGGGACAAAGAACCCTGGCCTGCACAGAACTGACACAAGCGAGATGCCAGCTGCTCATCAGAGAGTCAGCGGGGTGGCCAGGAGACAGATCCTGAAGGCTGGGATTCCAGAGTACAAGGCTGAAGAATTCACATGTGACACCACGCACAGAAGGAAACCTCCACAGCTCAGCAGAGCCCATCCAGCTGGCCCTGGGAGAGGCCTGGCCCAGCGGTCCCAGGATCACCCAGAGACCAGGAGACTGGGTGCAAGGGGATGAGCACAGGTGTGGCGGCCACTGGGAGAGCAGTAGTGGAAGCAGGAAGACGCATATGAAGATAGTGTGAGTTACATCACTACCACATCTCAGTTAAGGAAAGAGAATCGAAGCAGTAAGGGGGAAATGATAGGATCTCAGTGTGTGTAAGAACTGACACACGCTCTTTGCCTCAGATGAATGCAAACTACTACACTCAAGGAGATGGGAACAATGGAGATAGAACTATGAAGGACACATGCTAAAGTCTTATATCAACTGGCAACACTGGAGGTTAGCTAAATGAGGTTGATCACCAAAATGAACTACTGAAAATCTATTACAGACCACAGCTCTGCCCCCTTTGAACAGCCATGACATCACAGACTGCTAGGTGAACCACTCCCTAAGGGAACAGGGCCTGCCAGGCATCAAGACCCACAGGAACCAGGCAAAGCTCAAAATCACACTACCGCAAATGCTCAAGGCTGGTCCTTAATGGAAAGAAGCAATGAGTAGCACTTCCCACAAACAGAACAATTTTTCCCGTAAGTCGAAAAAAGAGCCTAAAGAAAGTTAAAGGTAATATTAGCGTATGCCCAAATTTCAAAGATAATCCCCAAAGCCAAGCATATAAGGAAAAACATTTAGGCAAATAGATTCTCAAAATCTGTTATAACCAAAATCTGTCCAAAAAAAAAATAAGGGACCAGCATTGTGACTCAGCAGATTAAGCATCCCATATGGGTACAGGTTCAAATCCTGGCTGCTATACTTCCAGTCCAGCTTTCTGGGAAATCAGGGGAAGATGGCAGAAGTACATGGGCCCTGACATCCATGGTGGGCAAGCCCCAGATGGAGTTAGAGCTCCAGGCTTCAGCCTGGCCCAACCTCAGCCACTGTGGCCATTTGGGGAGTGAACCAGCAGATGAAGATCTCTGTCTGTCTGTCTCTCTCTCTCTAACTCTGCCTTTCAAATAAATAGTTTAAAAAATAGAAAAACATTATTATCTACCAGCTTGCACTAAAAGTTGAATTCTATTTCTTAGGCAAGGTGAAATTCAGGTAAACAAATGGGTATTGTTCTTTACACCTTTCTCTAAAATAAAGACAAAATTCTAAATGTAACTTCTTTGTTGACAAGTTGTATTACACTAGCCTTGAGACTCAGGCAATGTAGAGTAACCATTTTTAAGTGAGTCGGAATAATACAAATGATCCAACTGATGGATTTTTTTCAAGCTTCAAAGTATTTAAATGTGTTTGTTATAGATCACACAATTTTTTTGTTGTTAAGGAAGAAAATACAATGAAAAGCAGAGAAAGACAAATATCTAAGGCAGGCCAAGTATTGTGGATATTTAGTCATGCATTCAGTACAAGTATTTATGTAATACAGTCATTCCTCTGTATTCTGAGAGTATTCTGGTTCCATGACACCCCCCAAGCCCTACACATACTAAAAATTCACAATGCTCAATTCTCCTAGATAAAAATAGCATAGTATTTACATATAGCCTATGCACATTCTCCCCTACACTCTAAACCACCTCTAGATTGTTCATAATGCTTCCAGAATACAGGCATATGAAAGACTTGAGGTACCCAGCTCAGCCACACCCGAATTCCTGATCACCAGAAACTGGCAGATATTGTTATTATGAGCTGCCAAAGTTTGAAGAAATTTGTTGCACAACAGATAACTAATGCAATAATACAAATGTATTTTATAAAACATAATCCATTATATAAGGTTTAAAGTTACAGGTGTAACAATGGGAAACAGGGTCAAAGCAATCCTTTTAAGTCTTTCCTTGTCTTGAATAAAGTAATCTATTTTTGTCCATCAAGTACATCTAAAATGTATTCAATTAATTCATCAATAGTAACAATCACTGTTGGTGCTATTCCAAATTAGAAGTGAATCACCACCCATCAAAAAAGGACTTTTGACAAATATTATAAAGCAATCAATGTCCTATATAGGACACACAGGACTAAAACATAATGGGAGAGAAAGACTGAATATTAATATCAGACAAACCCTCTGGAGGGAAAAAAAATTCAACCTAAGCATAAAGAGATCCTGAAGGAACAGTCCACTGGGAAGTAACGGTCTTGCATCTTAAGTGCCTGACAACGCCTCTCAACATACACTCAGAGCCAAAATTCAGATTTCATCCTGCCCTTAAATCATCCCTGATTAACATCTATTACATTGTATGAGACGTACTTAAAAAGATTACCTCCTATCTACATGCTAACAGAACTTTACCCACAGATACTGCCGATAGGAGGGATAAATTCAGTCTCATGGAGAGGGCTCAATGAAGTGAGCATAAATCACAGAGCTCCAGCACGTACCAGGGCGAGGACCTGACAGGTGTCACAGGCTGAGTCCTGCCCCAGGTCCTCCCCCTTCCCGGTAGCCACACCCTGGGGCCAGGTGACTGCAATTACTGCCTGTGCAGGCAGGATGAACTCTGCTACAAGACACGCTTTGATCCATGGGGTAGGAAGCGCAGGGACAATGTGCCCGTGCTGGGGCCCTCAGCCTCGGCTTTGCCGAATGCCATCCATTAGGGTTAGCAGAGAGACACTGAAGACAGTTGGTATCAGCTCATGAAACATTGCTTAAATGTTCAGAAACTCACGGGGCAGCTGTTAAGCACGCTGATCAATAGGACATACACTATGCAAACTAGAAAATCACAGTAAAAATAAAAGGTACTCAACCCTCAAATTCCTCATCTGTTTGCTTTGTGTTACCAGGACTTTTGCTGTGGAGGTTGTTTAAAATAAGGGTATGGTGGGGACCACCGCATGTCGGTGAGCCATGTGCAGCGCTTCCCAGTGATGTTATGACAGCCTGAAACTGGCCCAGCTGGGAATATTTACACCACAAAATCAGGCAACTAACACGAATGAGGGGTTGCCCCCTCCACAGAGCAAGTTCAGGCTCTACGAGCATGAGAAATGCTTCAGGGATTCAGCTGGGACCCCAAAAAGAAGATACGAGAAGCAGAAGGGCTCCCAGCCCACCGGCAGGAGACAAGCATGGTGAGAACACATCTTGAAGGGGGGCCAGTGGCCAAGGCCAGCAAGATCGGCCAAGTCACACTCAACCGGCATCCAGTCTGAGAATAAAGGCTTACTGGATAAGCAGGCTTAGGAGAGCGTTCATCATTCAACATTATTGAGGCAATGATTGATTGAAACACATGGTAAGTCGGAGCCTGATCAATTAGTGTACCTGAAGGAAAAAGACTGTATTTAAGGAAAGATGATGCACTGGTCTAAGCCCTCCAAGCAAGCTTATAGGCAACTACTGAGCAATTGCATTCGGGGCTCATTGAGACGTTAAAGGAAGGTGGCCCAGAAAGGGAAATCAGTGAGAACTCACTTGGCCTCTCCTGAACTGGTTACAACCCCAAGACCGAAAGAGAAAGCACAATGGGTGCTTACAGACCAGGAAGAAAGGGTAAACACAGAGGCAGTTAGGCTCCTCAGAGGCAGCAGAGGGAAGCACACGGGAAAGGACCTGACCCAGGATCAGGGAAGGCTTCCCGGGGGAAGTGGTCGCTGAGCCGAGAACATTCCAACAGTGCAATCCAAATGACCAAAGACCAAAAAACAAAGCAAGCTGCTGCAGTGAAGAGAGCTCTTACAGGGGGAAATGGGCAGCACTCCAGCGAGTGAGTCAAGTTCACCACAGATGGCCTTGGACCACAACAGGTCAAGAGGATGGCCCATGTGTGCTCAGGTAGAGGCTGCAACCTCAGACACGCTCGGGCATGGAGTCCTGCCATTGCTCTCATCTCCCGCTCAGTGCTCCCTTACCCTCCTACCTCCAGGACATCTCTGAACGCGTCCCAGCCACAAACTCAGCAGCTCGGAACCATTCAGCACTTCCTAGGAGCATTGATAGACAAGTGCTGTGCTAAGTGGTAAGACAGCCAAGTTGATAACTTCAGCGTTTGGGGACTGGCTTCCAGGAAACACTGCATCACAAAAGCAGAACCCCCTGTGCTCCCAGACAGTGGTGAGAACGCAGACGCTTGGTGAATACCACGTTCTTTTTATACGATGCTTTTTAAAATCCAAAGCACGCACCTAGTACTTACGTAGGGATGTTCACAGCACTGCACTAAAATAAGCAATTTTAAGTAGAAAAATGGAATGTAAAAGTTTATCCAATTTTTCCTCCTTTGCACTTAAACAGCCCCAATGCCTTCTGAATGGTCGATCACAAAACAGCAAGTCTTACTGTAAGAGTTTTGATTCAAGGATTAATTCTGCAAGTTCGACTACACTGCAAATAACGTGAAAACCCACTTCACGTCAGCCACACTGGTAAATCAGGCATACGAACACCATTCTACCAGATGACAATTCAAATATTGAAACACAGATGGAAAGTAAAATATTTGACAAGGCTTTCATTTAGAAACATCTCAGAATACAGTTCAATCGAGTACCAATCTATTCGTCTAAGACTGTTAGCGAGCAATGAAATATTAAAATTAATAAGGCCATTTTCTTTGGAGTCTTGGGTAAAAAAAAATTCAAGATGCGACAGACAAGACAGAATAATTTAAGGAAAAGAAGAATGTTACATCACCCAGCCATAACTGCCTTTCTCTGCTACCAAAAATACACACCAAAGGTATTCCCAGCATAAACACCACAACATAAACGGTGGAAAAGACATCACACGGGCACCCTGCTTTATTTTCTTGCTCTACTGGACTGCACTCTTGAGCGTCCTATGTGATCCTTTTTTCACCAAATATTTTTCTTCTCAGCTGCCTCTCCGCCATGCCAAGTTAAACTTTCCCAAATCTTCTTGTTCTAATCATAGCACCGCAAACTCTGATAAAAATAACTGGGCAAAGCCTCCCTAAAATGACTAGTATCTATAGCAAAAAAGCAGCTTTAGAATAAAGGGTTTTTTATATATTATGGTCAAAGTCACCATGCTACCATAAAAGTGTCAGTGTGGCATGAAACACAGAATTCAACACACACACACACACACACACACACACACACACGGGACTACATTAACCACACAAATGAATTTAGGAATTTCCCTCAAGCTGCAGAACATCAACAATGTAAATGACTTACCAGATATAATTAAAGCACAGATTCATTCTTTACAAAAAAAAAAAAGATTTATTTGAAAGTCAGAATTAAAGAGAGAGACATCTTCCATCTGCTGGTTCACTCCCCAGATGGCCACAACAGCCAGGGGTAGGCCAGGCCAAAGCCAGGAGTTTCATCCAGGGCTCCCACTTTGGTGGCAGGGGCCCAAGTCTTGGGCCATCTTCCAGTGTTTTTCCCAAACCATTAGCAGGGAGCTGGATGGGAAATGGAGCAGCCGGACTCAAACCAGCGCCTATATGGGGCTTAACCCCCTGTGCCACAGACCTGGCCCCACAGACTCACGTGTAAACCTCAACCCCAAGGGCAGTGTTTGGCTCAAAAGAAAGGAGGAAAGGCAAGGGACTGAGAGGAGAACGGGGAGGGAGGGAAGTGTGGTTATCTTCTTAGAACTGAACCTATGCAATATGTGTAATCTATTCTTTTCATATCAATAAAAACTTTTAGGAATTTTATTTTAAAAACATCACTTGGGCTGCCTGCATCTGCATCCCATATGGGAGCAACTAGGTTCAATCCAGCTTCCCGTGAACGCACACCACGGGAAGCACAGCTCAAGACCTTGAGTCTCTACCACCTACATGGGAGTCGCCGATGAGTTCCAGGCTCCTGGCTTCAACCTGGCCCAGCCCTGACTGTTGTATGCTTTTGGGGAGTGAACCAGAAGATGAAAGAAAGATCTCTGTCGCCTGTCTGCCTTCTCCCAGGCATTCAAACAAACAACAAATAAAACAAAAAATTCAGTTTCAAAACTTAAAACATCTTCCTTCCACCTAACTGCAAGCCACTTAGGTCACAGCCAGTGACAGCATTTAGAACATTTTAACTTCCCTTTTTAAACAGTTGACAAATGCAGGGAATTGTAGCTAAATTTTATTTCTTTCAATTGAGTTGACCTATGTAAGACATTGGAGGGTAATATTCAACCTTCAGCATCCAGTAAACACTTGGCTTTGTTCTGATTGATTTTTTATTCAATATCCAACATCATTAAAAGGTACACGTGTTTAGATGTCAACTCAAGGACACGCAGCAGCCACGGGGCAGTGGGAGAAGAGGGGACTCCGAGGTCGGGATGAGGAGAGGGCTCTTTCGACTATTTCTTTAAACATTGGAAGATCTGTTAGGGAAGAGCACAAATATTTAAGTGATGTTCCAATCAATGATCCTGGAACCAACCTTGCAAAAATTGTCCCCAAGTTTTCAGAAGGGAGCAGAGATACAGATTACAAAAAACCAGTTTGTGTGCCCAGGGATTTAGAACCTGAAGGTTATTTAGAAAGTTGCTTATGAAGCACTGATAATCACAACTCCAAATTTCCATCTATGACGAGGCAGTTAAGTGCGCTGGGAACACGAATCGATGTTATATTACACTTGGAAGCAGAGGGAAATCAACGGGAGGGACTTAGATAAATGGCTACATAGGACATCTTGTTTAAAGGTTGTTTTAAAAGTCTTTTGTGCATTCAATTACACTGATCACAATATGGTATTAAAAGTTCCAGTCTAAGCCCAGGCATGACAAAGAAACTCGATGTGGATCTATAGTCTGATTTTTCCTTCTCTCAGCCAGGGTAGCTACTGGGGGTTCCCACGTTCTTGAGTTTATTGGTCAGTTCTTACAGTCAGGACAAATGATTTCATAAAGTGCTCAGGGCACATCTGACATCGTCCACTGGAGCTGAGCAGTCAAACATGAATTAGAGCTAAATGGAGAATAAAGGGTGCAATGACTTTCTATTATTTGGTGTTAAAACAGATGAGTAAAGAATTAGTAAAAAACTCTAGGAATACTGATAGCAATGAATGCTATAGTCTTCCTTACAACAATACCACCAGCTTTCTGGGGGAAAAAACTGCATTAGATTCACACTTCATCACCATGTTTTTGTTATTCCTACATCAGCTAAAATGACAAGTTAAGTAGCACCAGAATGTCACTTTTTTAAAGCTAGCAATTGAAGAGAATTTTTAGCACTTAGAGAAGCTCAAGGCTTCAGCAAGAAGTAAAGCATTAAAATCAGAGGCTATAATTGGGATCTAAAATATATACTGCTGTCACAATTCAATTTCTGATGTCTGCCTATAACCAGCGGCACCCTTATAAATGTTAGGCTCTAAAGCCAATCAAGATGATTTATCACAAAACATTTTTTTAAAGTATATCCTTTAACAATGATTAATGACCAGAAAGTTCTCTCATCCTAATATCTGACTGACAGGCACAAACACAGGTTCCTAACATTCATTCACAGCAGGCAGGCTGCAGAGAGAATAACCAAACAACGAAAGGGGAGAGGGGGAAGACTCCTACCAAAAAAGACACGTTGTTTCCATCGTTAGCAAATGCCCCATCACTTCCTGTGCCAGCAATCTCAATTCTAGAACATTTTAACCTCTTACAGTAAAATATGGAACAAAAGCTCCAACTATTTGACATCTTACGTGAAGAGACAGATGGGAAAATTTTCAAATCTAGGAAGAAGATTCTACCACCAGTGGACGAGGAAAGGGGACGAAAGACGGAATGGACTAAAATGTGTAGGACAAAATTAAAGTTTTCATCATTCAGAAAGCAGAAAACTCAAAGCAACGTTGCCAAGGCTGTAAGAGAAGTCTAAGCAGCTTCAAGTGGTTTGTTACAAAAGCACAGAACTTCAGAATTAATTCACTTTTGTAATTTTTTAACCATTACTGATTTTCATCTACTTAAAAGCCAAACAACAGAGAGAGACACAGAGATGGAGAAGGATTTTTCGTCTACTGGTTTACCCCTGAAAGGCCCACAAAAGCCTAGGCTGGGCAGACTCAAGCCAGGAGCCTGGAACTCCATCCAGGTCTCCCCCACGGATGGCAGAAGTCCGAGCGTCGGAGCCATCATCCGCTGCCACCCAGGGTGCATTAGCAGGAAGCTGGACGGGGAAGGAGAGCAGCAAGCACTCTGATCCGGGCCGCAGGCTTCCCAAGCAGAGGCTGAACCCACTGCCACAACGCCTGCCCCTACCTTTAACATTTTTAACAAAAAAGGGCAGCGAAGTAATTACTATGAGTAATTTCAAGATATCTAACTGGTGGGGAGAAAAAATAAGACTGTGATAAAGTCTGTTAGTAGATGTAGATGTTCACTAAACTGATTTTTCTGAAAAATATTTTAATTTATTTGAAAGAGTTACACAAAGAAAGGAGAGGCAGAGAGAGAGAGAGTCTTCCATCCAATGGTTCACTCCCCAATTGGCCACAACAGCCAGAGCTCCGCCGATTTAAAGCCAGGAGCTTCTTCTGGGTCTCCCATGCAGGTACAGGGGCCCAAAGACTTGGGCCATCTTCTACCACTGTTCCAGGCCATAGCAGAGAGCTGGATGGGAAGTGGAGCAGCTGGGTCTTGAACCAGCACCCATATGGGATGCTGGCACTTCAGGCCAGGACGTTAACCCGCTGAGCCACAGCACCGGCCCCCGCTAAACTGATTGAAACATAAAATCATCTTCTCCCACCCTGTGCCACGAATTGGGAATAACCATGTAAGTACTTGAAAACAACTGGGGGCAGGCACTGGGCTCGATGGGCTGAGGCCCAGCTTGGGATGCTCGCACCCAGGTCGAAGCGGCTGTGTTCCATTCCTGGCTCTGCTTCCTGTCAAGCTTCCTGATCACGTGCACTCCAGGAGGCAGCAGATGATAGCTCAAGTACTGGGCCCCTGCCAACCACTGAGACTCAGATGGAGCTCCTGGCTTCAGCCTGGCCCAGCCCTGGCTGCTGCACGCAGTTGGAGAATCAG